AAAAGCAATGAGAGAACGGTCGGCATTGAGTGTGGTGTGGCACAAATGGAGACGGTAATAAACATTGGAAGCACTACTAGGAACCTTGGGCGAATGGAGGTTTTTGAGAATTCTCAAAAACTCCCTACAATGAGAGAACGGTCGGCATTGGGTGTGGCGTGGCACAAATGGAGACGGTACTATTTGGTGTGGCATGGTAATAAACATTGGAAGCACTACTAGGAACCTTGGGCGAATGGAAGCAGTGGAGAAGCGACAGCTTTGAATGACTTACCACGCGGACGCCTGGAGCAGGAATCGGTCGTGCAGCTCCCGCACGGCGGCTCGCAGCTAGACGCGCTTCAGCGGGCCCTTGACTTGACTTGACTCAACCTGACTCGACTTACCACGCGGACACCTGGAACAGGCATCGGTCGCGCAGTTCCCGCACGGCAGCTCGCAGCTCGGCGCGCTTCGGCAAGCCCTTGACTTGATTTCAGTTGACTTACCTTGACTTGACTTGATTGACTCACCATGAGGACGCCTGGAACAGGCATCGGTCGCGCAGTTCCCGCACGGCGGCTCGCAGCTCGGCGCGCTTCACGGCTGGGCTCGCCGCCGCTGCCGCTGCTAGCGCTGCTGCCACGGGATCGGCCGGAACGTGCCTGACGGCATCCGGCGTCGCTGGCACTGCCATGTCGGTCGAAATTCGTGAACGATCGTGTGATGGAACTAATGAAAACCCAATAAGACGAGATGCGAACTGTTGAGACGGCCCAGAATAGGAGATTTTCAAAGTGATAGTAAATCTAACCGAAGTAAAAATTCATGAGCAGAGCCGCAGACACGCCTGAGCGGACAGCACTCGCTTATTGTACGTTTGGCGTGGTCTCTAATACATTCTGTTACTTCCTACTATTCCCTAACAGCTGGCATTCCTTCAGGAATCTGACCTGGTTTCTGATCCCTGGTGTTCTACCCTATAGAACTTGGCTCTCACTAACCGCGATTCGAGAGCTCTCGAGATATAGCAGGACGGGATTCACAGATGATAGCGCGCACTTCTCAACAACAAACGAACCAATCTTGAGACGAAGTGACGGCCGGACGTGGAGCCGAACCGATTCAAATAGGCACCTCGTCAAATTCTGAACCTGAAGCTCATGTTACCATTACTGTTCTCGCGTAATGGTTTCGCTGGAACTCTGTGCGATCTGGATCAGGCATTTTTGGGCAAACGAAGTTACACGAGATGCTTAAATAATGAAACGCAATCAGCAACGTAGCTAGCTTCGTCAATCTCCGTGATGTCTCGTGGAAACTGATGATTCTATGGTAACCTGTTAGCCCTTGGGAAGGTCGATCGCTACGCATTATTCAAACGATCAGGCCCTTGCTCCTGGAAAAAAATGCTCACATCGTAAGGCACCTAGCAGTCAACTCTGTTAGCTGTCTAGCAGGTGTGTTGTGTAGAACCCTCCTGCTGCTGCTGGTCCAGTTATAACATAATCCGTCACGTGCAATACCGGGAGTCTAAGCGGTCATTTCGTTCTCTGAAGGATTTTGGATTTGAGGCTCCTGAGTTGCACGGTCATTTCTTACGCCACCCTGATTTCGCCCTACGCATCCCGCGTTTCGCTTCGCGAAGAACTTGCTCGTTCGCCATTCGCTCAGCTTGACAAACGTAGCTTTCGCGCTTCGCGCTCCTTGCTTAACGTCGCCACTCCGTGCCTTTTGAGGTGACTCTTGAGTCCACCCAACGGTCACTTTCGGAGCTACCCATTCCGCGCGTTCCAATCCCTCCCACGAAATCAAAGTAGAAAATCCAGCCTCGTATTCGCTATATCGGGGATGGCGAAGCGCAAGGAGGATCCGTTACAAGCAGAGGACGCGCACGACAAGCTGGAGCTGATGCCGCTGGGCGCGGGCAACGAAGTGGGGCGGTCGTGCGTGTTCATGTCGTACAAGGGCAAGAACGTGCTGGTAATCACTCCCTAGGCGCCTCATTTTTGTCGTATATGGGCAAGAACGTGCTGGTAATGGCCCTTAGGTGCAGCTGATGCCTGTAGGGGCAACCAACTGGGGCGGTCGTGCGTGTTCATGTCGTACAAGGGCAAGAACGTGCTGGTGAGGGCAAGAACGTGCTGGTGAGGGCAAGCACGTGCTGGTGAGGGCTAGCACGTGCTGGTGAGGGCTAGCACGTGCTGGTGAGGGCAAGCACGTGCTGGTGAGGGCTAGCACGTGCTGGTGAGGGCTAGCACGTGCTGGTGAGGGCAAGCACGTGCTGGTGAGGGCTAGCACGTGCTGGTGAGGGCAAGCACGTGCTGGTGAGGGCAAGCACGTGCTGGTGAGGGCAAGCACGTGCTGGTTATGGCTCTTCAGTTCGAATGTGGCATTCACCCTGCATGCTCTACTCAGGCATCGCTGGGCTGCCCGCCTTTGGTCACCTGCCTAGTTTCCATCCCCTTTCACCCCACTCAATCCCCTTCCACCGCACCCAACCCTTTCCCCACTGCCAGTTCGACTGTGGCATTCATCCCGCGTACTCTGGCATTGCCGGGCTGCCCTTCTTTGGTCACCTGCCTTCTTTCCATCCCCTTCCCCCCCACTCAATCCCCTTCCACCGCATCCAATCCCCTTCCACCGCACCCAACCCTCTTCGCACTGCCAGTTTGACTGTGGCATTCACCCCGCCTACTCGGGCATCGCCGGGCTGCCCTTCTTTGACGAGATCGACCCCTCCTGTATTGACGTGCTGCTCGTCACGCAGTGAGTGCTGTTGACTGCCGTTGACTTGAGTTGACTCGAGTTGACTTGTTGACCTTGGTGTGCTTCTGGGCTGCCCTTCTTTGATGAGATCGACCCCTCCTGTATCGACGTGCTGCTGGTGACGCAGTGAGTGCTGCTGACTGCCGTTGACTTGAGTTGACTCATGTTGACTCACTGAGTGCTGCTGCCCTTCTTTGATGAGATCGACCCCTCCTGTGTGGACGTGCTGCTGGTGACTCAGTGAGTGTTGAATCCTTTCTGCTGCGTTGACATGAGTTGACTCGTGTTGACTCACTGAGTGCTGCTGGGCTGCCCTTCTTTGACGAGACCAACCCCTCCTGTGTTGACGTGCTGCTGGTTACGCGGTGAGTGCGGTCTTCTTGCTGTGTTTACCCTCGTTGAGTTAACTTGCAGTGAGTGCTGCTTCCTTTCTGCTGCGTTTACTTGAGTTTGCCTAACTTCGTTATGGGCGCCTCATAACGTCTTCTCCCGTTCTCTCCCGTTCCCTCCCCTCCCCTCCCCTCCCCTCCCCTCCCCTCCCCTCCCCTCCCCTCCCCTCCGCCATCAGCTTTCATCTCGACCATGCCGCGTCACTGCCTTACTTTCTCTCTAAGGTACAACCCGCTATCTGCTTGCACGGTGTGCTGTGAGTGTGAGATGTCTCCATCTATGGATGGTCACTGCAAGCTATATTTGAGGCGCCTAAAAAATAACCTGCTTGCACGGTGTGCTATGCTTGTGGGGGGGGTGGTGTACTGGGCATGTGAGATGTCTATGGATGGTTACTGCAAGCGTGTGGAAGTCTTTTGAGGCGCCTCAAAAGGTGTACTGGGCATGTGAGATGTCGATGGATGGTTACTGCAAGCGTGTGGAAGTCTTTTGAGGCGCCTCAAAAGGTGTACTGGGCATGTGAGATGTCGATGGATGGTTACTGCAAGCGTGTGGAAGTCTTTTGAGGCGCCTCAAAAGGTGTACTGGGCATGTGAGATGTCGATGGATGGTTACTGCAAGCGTGTGGAAGTCTTTTGAGGCGCCTCAAAAGGTGTACTGGGCATGTGAGATGTCTATGGATGGTTACTGCAAGCGTGTGGAAGTCTTTTGAGGCGCCTCAAAAGGTGTACTGGGCATGTGAGATGTCTATGGATGGTTACTGCAAGCGTGTGGAAGTCTTTTGAGGCGCCTCAAAAGGTGTACTGGGCATGTGAGATGTCGATGGATGGTTACTGCAAGCGTGTGGAAGTCTTTTGAGGCGCCTCAAAAGGTGTTCTGGGCATGTGAGATGTCTATGGATGGTTACTGCAAGCGTGTGGAAGTCTTTTGAGGCGCCTCAAAAGGTGTACTGAGCATGTGAGATGTCTATGGATGGTTACTGCAAGCGTGTGGAAGTCTTTTGAGGCGCCTCAAAAGGTGTACTGGGCATGTGAGATGTCTATGGATGGTTACTGCAAGCGTGTGGAAGTCTTGGAAGGAGATGAATGCTAATTCATCAGGGCTTCTGTTGGTGATGCTTGCTTTTTTCCCTTGTTCTGATGTTGCTTCTTCCGCAGCGGCCCCTTCTGCTCCTACTCCCCGCAGCAGACCAATGTCGTACCAATGGCTTCATGCCAGGACGAGTCTTAATGATTCATGCATGCAACAGAAGTTTATTTTTGAGACGTCTCAAAAATCAACTTTCTACACGTGCCTTCCGCTCCTACTCTCCGCAGACCAATGTCGTACCAATGTCGCTCATGCTAGGACGAGTCTTAATGATTCATGCCAGGACGAGTCTTAATGATTCATGCATGCAACAGAAGTCGTGTACTGGCGGGCTGCTGCTGCTGCTGCTGCGGTGCGAGTATCAAGATTCATGTTGGGAGTTGCAGCAAAAACGATCTCAACAGAAGTCGTGTACTGGCGGGCTGCTGCTGCTGCGATGCGAGTCGGCACAGCAGCAGTCTAATTTTGAGGCGCCTCAATATTAGAAGTCGTGTACTGGCTGCTGTGCGAGTCAACACAGCAAGGTGGCTGTGGATGATGCTCCCTTGTCTGCCTCCCTTCCCCTACCCTCCCACTGCCCTCCCACCCCCACCTCACTCCACCGCACCCCACCTCCTCCCTCTATCGCCTGCTGCTGTCTGATTTCGTGCGAGTCAGCAAGGTGGCTGTGGATGATGCTTGCTTTCTTTCCTCTGTTCTGTTGTCTCTTTTTCCCTGGCCCCTTTCCCTCCAACCCTCACAGACCAACTTCCAGGGGCGGGTGTTCAAGACCCATGCCACGAAAGCCGTCTATCGCCTGCTGCTCTCTGATTTCGTGCGAGTCAGCAAGGTGGCTGTTGAAGATGCTCCCTTGTCTGCCTCCCTTCCCCTACCCTCCCACTGCCCCTCCACCCCTACCTTGCTCCACCGCACCCCACCTCCTCCCTCTTCAGACCAACTTCCAGGGACGCGTGTTCATGACCCATGCCACCAAGGCCGTCTATCGCCTGCTGCTCTCTGACTTCGTGCGAGTCAGCAAGGTGGCTGTGGATGATGCCCTGTTCACGGAGCAAGACATTCAACAGAGCATGGAGAAGATTGAGGTGAGTGCGAGCGGTTGAGGGAGTGAGTGAGTGGGTGAGTAAGGGAGAAAGTGAAAGGGGGGGAAAGTCAGCAAGGTGGCTGTGGATGATGCCCTGTTCACGGAGCAAGATATCCAGCAGAGCATGGAGAAGATCGAGGTGGGTGCGAGTGAGGGAGTGAGTGAGGGAGTGAGTGAGTGAGGGAGTGAGTGGGTGAGTGAGGGAGTGAGTGGGTGAGTGAGTCAACAAATGAGTGAACGAGTGAGTGAAGTAGGGAGTCAGCAAGGCGGCTGTGGGTGATGCGCTGTTCACGGAGGAAGATGTCTAGCAGAGCATGGAGACGACTTTTGAGGCGCCTCAAAAAGCTTCTGAGAATTCTAAAAAAACTGAGGCGCCTCAAAAGGCTTTTGAGAATTCTAAAAAAACTGAGGCGCCTCAAAAGGCTTTTGAGAATTCTAAAAAAACTGAGGCGCCTCAAAAGGCTTTTGAGAATTCTAAAAAAACTGAGGCGCCTCAAAAGGCGGCTGTGGGTGATGCGCTGTTCACGGAGGAAGATGTCCAGCAGAGCATGGAGAAGATCGAGGCGAGGGGGAGTGAGGGAGAGTGAGTGAGGGAGTGAATGAGGGAGTGAGTGAGGGAGCGTACGAGGTGAGAAAGGTGGCTGTGGATGATGCGCTGTTTACGCAAGAAGATGTCCAGGAGCATGGAGAAGATCGAGGTGAGGGGGAGTGAGGGAGAGTGAGTGAGGGAGTGAGTGAGGGAGTGAGTGAAGGGGGAGTCAGCAAGGTGGCTGTGGAAGATGCTCTGGCATGCTGAATGGCATCAAGTTCTGGTGCTACACGGCGGCAGCTATGTTAAAGAGGTGACTTTTGAGTCGACTGAAAAGTAACTTCTGGTGCTACACGGCGGCAGCTATGTTAAAGAGGTGACTTTTGAGTCGACTGAAAAGTAACTTCTGGTGCTACACGGCAGCAGCTATGTTAAAGAGGTGACTTTTGAGTCGACTGAAAAGTAACTTCTGGTGCTACACGGCAGCAGCTATGTTAAAGAGGTGACTTTTGAGTCGACTGATAAGTAACTTCTGGTGCTACACGGCAGCAGCTATGTGCCACATGCTTTCTCTCACTCCCCCCTTTGTCGCGCCCAAAAATCGACTTATCACCGGCAGCTATACAGCGGCACAGCGGCAGCTATGTGCGGCAGCTATGTGCGGCAGCTATGTGCGGCAGCTTTGTGCGGCAGCTTTGTGCCACATGCTTTCTCTCACTCCCCGATTCATACCCCACCCCACCAGGTGATCGATTTCCACCAGATTCACGAGGTGAACGGCTTCAAGCTCTGGTGCTACACGGTGGGGCACGTGCTGGGAGCTCCTTTCATTGGTCTTCCATTCAGTGCTAACCCCTCCGTCCGTGGCCTTTCCTTTCCTTACCCTCATGTCAGGTGATTGATTTCCACCAGATTCACGAGGTTAACGGCATCAGGTTCTGGTGCTACACGGCGGGGCACCTGCTGGGAGCTGGAGCGAGTTGGCAGCACCTTTCACTCAGTGCTTCCACCTCCTTCCTCTCTCTGTCTTTCCTTGCCCTCATTTCAGGTGATAGATTTCCACCAGATTCACGAGGTGAATGGTATCAAGTTCTGGTGCTACACGACAGGCAGGGCACGTGCTGGGATCGGCCGTGCTGCTCCTTTTTCCATTCCACATGCTTTGTCTTTTTTCCCTCCCTTGCTGCTCCTTTATTCCTCCCAGGTCATCGACTTTCACCAGATTCACGAGGTGAATGGTATCAAGTTCTGGTGCTACACGGCGGGGCACGTGATGGGAGCAACGTGGCTTGAGTGCTAACCCCCGTCTTCCTCCGTCTTTATGTTCCTCGCTCCCAGGTCATTGATTTCCACCAGATTCACGAGGTGAACGGTATCAAGTTCTGGTGCTACACGGCGGGGCACGTGCTGGGAGCAGCCATGTTCGCGGTGGATATAGCGGGAATCAGGGTGCTCTATACGGGGGATTACTCGCGCGAGGAGGACCGCCACTTGAGAGCAGCCGAAGTGCCGCCCTTCTCTCCGGACCTCTGCGTCATTGAGTCAACGTTTGGTGTACAGGTGCGTCTTGGTGGATTTTGACTTCCTATACTGCTACTTGAGACAGCTAGGGTCAGCAGGGGAAGGAGGAGGACCGCCACTTGAGAGCAGCCGAAGTGCCGCCCTTCTCTCCTGACCTCTGCGTGATCGAGTCAACGTTCGGCGTGCAGGTAAGATTTGGTGATGGTTCCTTCTCAGAGGGTGCTCTATACGGGGGATTACTCGCGCGATGAGGACCGCCACTTGCGGGCAGCCGAAGTGCCGCCCTTCTCGCCGGACCTCTGCGTCATCGAGTCAACCTTCGGCGTGCAGGTGAAATCAGGCTGTTCTTACACGGCTCATGCAGAAAGGCGGAGGACCGGCACTTGCGGGCAACTGAGCCAAAGTGCCGCCGTTCGGTGATCTCCCAACTTCTTCATCATTGAGTCCACCTTCGGCATGCAGGTGAGATCAGGTTCTCAAGGCACGTTGGTCATACGTCCAGTGTTGATACGGAGAGGAGGACGAGGAGGACCGGCACTTGGGGCGGCAGAAGTGCCGCCCTTCTCTCTGGACCTCTGCATCATTGAGTCCACCTTTGGTGTGCAGATGAGTCTTGGTGGCTCTTTCTTTGTATGCAGGTGAGATCGGGGAAGTGAGAGAGCACCGTTTTCTCGATTGTGTCGTCGGCACGGTGCTGAACGGAAGGAGGGTGCTCATCATCCCAGCGTTCGTCCTGGGCTGGGCAGTGAATCTCCCTAGCTCGCCCCTGGCTGGGCTGGGCCGAGCATAGAAGCTACTGCTCCTGTGCACTGGGCAGTGAATCTCCCGCTGCTGCTCTTTCTGAACGACCACTCCCCTCCTTGTTTCACTACCACCGTCCCTCCCACCCACCCACCTCCTCTCCCTCCACCTCACTTCACCCAACCACAGAATCACGAGCCACGGGAGGTGAGAGAACGCCGCTTTCTAGACTTTGTCGTGGGAACGGTGCTGAACGGAGGGAGGGTGCTCATCCCAGCATTCGCCCTGGGCCGGGCGCACTGAAGCTGCTGCTGATTCTCTACCCGTCGCCCGCTCTTCTCTCTCCCAGTCGCAGATCCACGAGCCACGGGAAGTGAGAGAACGCCGCTTCCTCGACTTCGAGTTGACTTTCGAGTTGAATTTTGAGTCGACTCAAAAGTGAGAGAACGTCGCTTCCTCACCTTCGTTGTCAGAACAGTGCTGAACGGAGGGAGGGTGCTCATTCCCGCGTTCGCCCTCGGCCGGGCCCAGGAGCTGCTGCTGATTCTGGACGAGCCGAGCACTCACCTCCTTGTTTCACCGGCTCTCTTCCCCTCTTTCTCTCCTTCTCTCTTTCTCTCCTTCTCTCTTTCTCTCCTTCTCTCTTCTCTCTTTCTCTCCTTCTCTCTTTCTCTCCTTCTCTCTTTCTCTCCTTCTCTCTTTCTCTCCTTCTCTCTTTCTCTCCTTCTCTCTTTCTCTCTCCTTCTCTCTTTCTCTCCTCTCTTTCTCTCCTTCTCTCTTTCTCTCCTTCTCTCTTTCTCTCCTTCTCCTTCTCTCTTTCTCTCCTTCTCTCTTTCTCTCCTTCTCTCTTTCTCTCCTTCTCTCTTTCTCTCCTTCTCTCTTTCTCTCCTTCTCTCTTTCTCTCCTTCTCTCTTTCTCTCCTTCTCTCTTTCTCTCCTTCTCTCTTTCTCTCCTTCTCTCTTTCTCTCCTTCTCTCTTTCTCTCCTTCTCTCTTTCTCTCCTTCTCTCTTCTCTTTCTCTCCTTCTCTCTTTCTCTCCTTCTCTCTTTCTCTCCTTCTCTCTTTCTCTCCTTCTCTCTTTCTCTCCTTCTCTCTTTCTCTCCTTCTCTCTTTCTCTCCTTCTCTCTTTCTCTCCTTCTCTCTTTCTCTCCTTCTCTCTTTCTCTCCTTCTCTCTTTCTCTCCTCTCTTTCTCTCCTTCTCTCTTTCTCTCCTCTCTCTTTCTCTCCTTCTCTCTTTCTCTCCTTCTCTCTTTCTCTCCTTCTCTCTTTCTCTCCTTCTCTCTTTCTCTCCTTCTCTCTTTCTCTCCTTCTCTCTTTCTCTCCTTCTCTCTTTCTCTCCTTCTCTCTTTCTCTCCTTCTCTCTTTCTCTCCTTCTCTCTTTCTCTCCTCTCTTTCTCTCCTTCTCTCTTTCTCTCCTCCTCTCTTTCTCTCCTTCTCTCTTTCTCTCCTTCTCTCTTTCTCTCCTTCTCTCTTTCTCTCCTCTCTTTCTCTCCTTCTCTCTTTCTCTCCTTCTCTCTTTCTCTCCTTCTCTCTTTCTCTCCTTCTCTCTTTCTCTCCTTCTCTCTTTCTCTCCTTCTCTCTTTCTCTCCTTCTCTCTTTCTCTCCTTCTCTCTTTCTCTCCTTCTCTCTTTCTCTCCTTCTCTCTTTCTCTCCTTCTCTCTTTCTCTCCTTCTCTCTTTCTCTCCTTCTCTCTTTCTCTCCTTCTCTCTTTCTCTCCTTCTCTCTTTCTCTCCTTCTCTCTTTCTCTCCTTCTCTCTTTCTCTCCTTCTCTCTTCTCTCCTTCTCTCTTTCTCTCCTTCTCTCTTTCTCTCCTTCTCTCTTTCTCTCCTTCTCTCTTTCTCTCCTTCTCTTCTCTCTTTCTCTCCTTCTCTCTTTCTCTCCTTCTCTCTTTCTCTCCTTCTCTCTTTCTCTCCTTCTCTCTTTCTCTCCTTCTCTCTTTCTCTCCTTCTCTCTTTCTCTCCTTCTCTCTTTCTCTCCTTCTCTCTTTCTCTCCTTCTCTCTTTCTCTCCTTCTCTCTTTCTCTCCTTCTCTCTTTCTCTCCTTCTCTCTTTCTCTCCTTCTCTCTTTCTCTCCTTCTCTCTTTCTCTCCTTCTCTCTTTCTCTCCTTCTCTCTTTCTCTCCTTCTCTCTTTCTCTCCTTCTCTCTTTCTCTCCTTCTCTCTTTCTCTCCTTCTCTCTTTCTCTCCTTCTCTCTTTCTCTCCTTCTCTCTTTCTCTCCTTCTCTCTTTCTCTCCTTCTCTCTTTCTCTCCTTCTCTCTTTCTCTCCTTCTCTCTTCTCTCTTTCTCTCCTTCTCTCTTTCTCTCCTTCTCTCTTTCTCTCCTTCTCTCTTTCTCTCCTTCTCTCTTTCTCTCCTCTCTTTCTCTCCTTCTCTCTTTCTCTCCTTCTCTCTTTCTCTCCTTCTCTCTTTCTCTCCTTCTCTCTTTCTCTCCTTCTCTCTTTCTCTCCTTCTCTCTTTCTCTCCTTCTCTCTTTCTCTCCTCTCTTTCTCTCCTTCTCTCTTTCTCTCCTTCTCTCTTTCTCTCCTTCTCTCTTTCTCTCCTTCTCTCTTTCTCTCCTTCTCTCTTTCTCTCCTTCTCTCTTTCTCTCCTTCTCTCTTTCTCTCCTTCTCTCTTTCTCTCCTTCTCTCTTTCTCTCCTTCTCTCTTTCTCTCCTTCTCTCTTTCTCTCCTTCTCTCTTTCTCTCCTTCTCTCTTTCTCTCCTTCTCTCTTTCTCTCCTTCTCTCTTTCTCTCCTTCTCTCTTTCTCCTCACTCAACCACAGATCCACGAGCCACGGGAAGTGAGGGAGCGTCGATTTCTCGACTTTGTCGTGGGAACGGTGTTGAACGGAGGGAGGGTGCTCATCCCGGCGTTCGCCCTGGGGCGAGCGCAGGAGCTGCTGCTCATTCTGGACGAGCACTGGAGGGGCCATCCGGAGGTGCAGCACGTGCCGCTGCTCTATGCGTCGCCCCTCGCAAGGAAAACTATGGTCGTGTATCGGTGAGTGGGAGTGGTTCACAGGGGTTAGAGCGGTGGTGAGCGGTGCAGTGCGGTGCTGTGCTGTAGTGGTGGCTGGAGCTGCTTCTGATTCTGGACGAGCACTGGAGGGGCCACCCCGAGGTGCAGCACGTGCCGTTGCTCTATGCCTGTCCGCTTGCAAGGAAAACCATGGTGGTGTATCGGTGAGTGACACACATCGTGGTGGTGAGGGGTGCAGAGCGGTCTTGTGCTGCGTCCCAAGGTGCAGCACGTGCCACTGCTCTATGCCTCCCCTCTCGCCTGCAAGACTATGGTGGTGTACCGGTGAGTGAGGGAGAAAGTGATAGGAGTGAGTGAGTGAGGGAGAAAGTGATCGGAGTGAGTGAGTGAGGGAGAAAGTGATCGGAGTGAGTGAGTGAGGGAGAAAGTGATAGGAGTGAGTGAGTGAGGGAGAAAGTGATAGGAGTGAGTGAGTGAGGGAGAAAGTGATAGGAGTGAGTGAGTGAGGGAGAAAGTGATAGGAGTGAGCGAGTGAGGGAGAAAGTGATAGGAGTGAGCGAGTGAGGGAGAAAGTGATAGGAGTGAGCGAGTGAGGGAGAAAGTGATAGGAGTGAGTGAGTGAGGGAGAAAGTGATAGGAGTGAGTGAGTGAGGGAGAAAGTGATAGGAGTGAGTGAGTGAGGGAGAAAGTGATAGGAGTGATCGCATTCAACAACCGCTTTTGAATGCTCTGCAATGCTGAAGTGTGATAAGCAACCGCATCTGCATACCCAATTGCCAAATGAAAATTCCTATTGTTCCTCCAGAAAACACTTCTGTGTGCCTCCTCTTTTTTCCAGTTTATCGAGCCTCAGAGTCTCGATTAACTCTGAATTTTCAACTCTGAGTTGCATCCAACTCAGATGGTCCCCGTTTTCCCACTCTCTTTCCCTTTGTTCTCTCGTCCCAGCACTTACCTAAGCGCCATGAACGACCGCATTCGCGAGCAAGCGGAAGTCTCCAACCCGTTTGACTTCCGGTTCATCAAGTCGCTGAGGAGCATTGCTGAATTTGAGGACACGGGGCCGGCTGTGGTCATGGCTAGCCCGGGTGGGCTGCAGAGCGGTCTATCCCGTCAGCTATTCGACATGTGGTGCCAGGATGCCAGGTGATAGATTGCAGGGTAAAGGGAAGAAGGGAAATTGTGTTGAAGGTGCTGAGGAGCATTGCTGAATTCGAGGACACGGGCCCTTCTGTGGTCATGGCTAGTCCGGGCGGGCTGCAGAGCGGGCTGTCACGCCAGCTGTTGGACATGCGGTGCCAGGATGCGAGGTGGAGGAGCGCCCTCCTGGACCCTCCCCTCCATCGCTCTATTTCACCCACCCTCCTGGACCCTCCCCTCCATCGCTCTATTTCACCCACCCCCTCCCCTCCATCGCTCTATTTCACCCACCCCCTCCCCTCCATCGCTCTATTTCACCCACCCTCCTGGACCCTCCCCTCCATCGCTCTATTTCACCCACCCTCCTGGACCCTCCCCTCCATCGTTCTATTTCACCCACCCTCCCTTCTCCCTCTTCCCCGCTCCCTCTCATCTGTCCCCTTCCCGTTCTTCCCCCCAGGAACACGTGCTTGATCCCAGGGTATGTGGTTGAAGGCACCTTAGCCAAGACCATTCTGAGCAAGCCCAATGAGGTGACCCTTCAATCCAGCGCCACCGTCCCTCTCTCTTTTCTTCTCTTTCCCCCCACCCGGTACCGTTCCCCCAGGAACACATGCCTGATCCCAGGGTACGTGGTAGAGGGCACGCTAGCCAAGACCATTCTGAGCGAGCCCAACGAGGTGACTCTCCAATCCGGTGCCACCGTCCCTCTCCGCATGAAGGTCCACTACGTGTCCTTCGCAGCCCACGCCGACTACCCGCAGACCTCCCACTTTCTGGAGCAGATCCGTCCCCCCCACATCGTGCTGGTTCACGGGGAGGCGCACGAGATGGCACGGCTTAAAGCCAAGCTTGCGCTGCATTTCAAGGACTCGCCGGCCCCGCCGAGTATTCACACCCCGAAGAATTGCCAGGGCGTGGAGTTTTTTTTCAAGGGGGAGAAGATTGCGAAGGTGGTGGGGAGGATTGCGGAGAATGGGGGGGTTATGGCTCCTGATGGGGAGGAGGATGGGGAGGGGGGGGGTGGTGATGCTGCTGCTGCCGGTACTGGTGCTGGTGATAGTGGTGGTGGTGCTGCTGCTCCGGCAATCAAAGCAGCAGAGGTTACGGGAGGGCTGGTAGCATCAAGCAACCCATCGAGCAAAGCAGGCGCCACCCAAGCAACTACAGGAGCAGGAGCAGCAGGGGGAGGAGCAACAGGGGGAGGTGCAATGGCGGGATGTGCAACAGAGGCAGCTGAACCAACAGGGGGAGCAGCAGCAGGGCGCACTATAAGTGGGCTGCTAGTGCGCAAGGGCTTTAACTACCAGCTACTAGACCCTCAGGACCTCCCCTCCTACACCTCCCTTGGACTCGGCACCGTGGTTCAGAGGCAGTCCGTACCCTTTATAGGCCCGTTCGAACCCATTATAAGGCGCCTGGAGATGCTGTTCGACTCGGTCGTGCTTATAAAGGATGCTGGCGTGCCTGCAGTGCAGGTGCATGAGAAGGTGATTGTAGCGAGGGAGGGGGAAGACAGGGTGGTGCTGCAGTGGGCGTCCGAGCCTGTGGGAGATATGCTGGCGGATTCGATTGTGGCTCTGATTCTACAGCTGGAATCCGGGCGGCAAACTGGCAAGGACCTGACGCTGCTGATGTCAGCAGGAGGAGGGAGAGGAGGAAGAGGAGTGAAGGTGGAAGGTGGGGGAAGGGAGGGAGGAGAGAAGGTGGTGAAGGGAGAGGAACTAGACGACAAGACAGGTGCTTTGGTTGTCGGAGAGAGCGATAAGAAGAGGAAAGAGAAGGGCGAGGAGGGCGGAGGAGGCAAGGAGGAAATTCAAGAGGAGGGGAAGGAGGAAGCTAAATCGAAGGCTATTGCGAAGGGAGAGGAGGGACAAGGAGATGGAGAGGGAGAGGGAGAGGGAGAGGGGGAGGAAGGAGGGAAGTGGAGGTGGCTTAGAGAGGACGAGATGAAGCACTTGGAGCGAGTGCTAGAGAGTATGTTTGGCGGAGTGAGGAGGGTCGGCGAGGAGGGGTTGAGAGTGAGTGTGGATGGGGTGGAGGTGAGTGTGAGAGTGGGGGAGGAGGGAGGGGAGGTGGAGTGTGTGGAGGAGGGGCTGAGGAAGAGAGTGAGGGAGGCTGTGAACCGGTTTCTAGCAGCTGTTCGCCCTATCCCTTCGCCCGTTGGTTCTGGCGTAGGCTTGAAGAAAAGTTAGCCAGCCAGGAATGCTGTACCCCTGGTTTGAGGAAGAGGGAAAGTAGGGGAGGCTGTGAACCGGTTTCTAGCAGCTGTTCGCCCTATCCCTCCGCCCGTTGGCTCTGCTGTAGGCTTGAAGAAAAGTTAGCCAGCCAGGAATGCTGTGCCCCTGGTTTGAGGAAGAGGGAAAGTAGGGGAGGCTGTGAACCGGTTTCTAGCAGCTGTTCGCCCTATCCCTCCGCCCGTTGGCTCTGCCGTAGGCTTGAGAAACTGTTAGCCAGTCAGGAATGCTGTGCCCCTGGTTTGAGGAAGAGAGGAAGGGAGTTTGTGAACCGGTTTTGAGCAGCCGTCCGCCCTAGCCCTCCGCCTGTTGGCCCTGCCGTAGGGTTGAGGAAAGGTTAGGCTGGCCTGGCTGGCACTAATGTTTCCTTGGTTGGAGTAGTGGGATGAGGTGTGTGGAGGGGGAGAGGGAGAGACTCGAGGAAGTTGTTAACTCTGTACAAATTTATCAACGGTTTCAAAAAAAATGGAACGATGATCTCCAACAGTGCAGATGATTGCCTGCAATGCTAGCCTCGGTAATAAGTACTGAGCATGAGGCCGTGAAACCGAAATACCGTAGTTGATTTTGTGACCATGTTGAATTGATTAGTATTAGTTTGCATTTCCGGTAGCGTGGTCCCATGATCTAGCGGTTATGATGTCAGACTCTGAATCTGAATGCCCGAGTTCAATTCTCGGTGGGACCTTCTTGAAAATTTATAATTCCGCCCCTTGTTGCTGTGGGTGGGTGTGTGTTCACACTGCACGCATGCATCCACCTTCTTCATAAACAAACTGCCCTTCACTAGCCCATATTCTGCTCACCAGTCGATGAATACGTGACTGGCAGATGGCACTCTTTATTTGTGTGGGTCTAATACTCCAACATGTTAACCGCAATCCATGAGGAGGAACCATCATAAGTTGTCACAACCACAAAATTGTCACAGGTCACTGGTCTCCCAGCCCAGCACTGCCTGCTACGCTGCCTGCTACACTGCCTGCTACACTGCCATCACAGCATCTACAGCCAGCAAGAAGTTTTCATCCACCTCCCCGTGCCCGTGCATGCGCTAAACGATTAAACCTACTATTCTCCCAGCACTGCCTGCTACACTGCCATCACAGCATCTACAGCCAGCAGGAAGTTCTCATCCACCTCCCCATGCCAGCCCATACACCCATTATCCATAGTGCCATGTCCAGCTACGGTTTGCGCCCAGTGACTTGCCTCACTCCTCTCCCAGGACCTCTTTCCATGCTGCGGCCACCTCATCTACAGCCAGCAGAAAAATTTCATCCACCTTCCCATGCGCATCCATGGCATGTGCAAAGTCTACCACGCTCAGAAAAGGGAGCTGTGCCCACCCATGCGCCCATCCATGCACCTAATGACTTGACCCGCTACTCTCCAAGCACTCCTTTCCACGCTGCCTTCACCCCATCTACAGCTTGCAAAAAGTTCTCATCTACCTTGCCTTGCGCATCGATGGCATGTGCAAAGTCCACGAGCCTCAGAGACGGGGGATAGCTGTGTCCACTCACTTGACTACACTCACTACTCTCCCAGCACCGCCTTCCATGCAGCCATCACTCCATCCACAGCCTCTAGGAAGTTCTCATCTACCTTGCCTTGCGCATCGATGGCATGTGCAAAGTCCACGAGCCTCAGAGAGGGAGGGTGGGCAGCACCCCTTCCCGCCTCCTTCCCTTCTTCCCTTGCCTCTGCCCCTTCGTGTTCAGATGTGTTGGCCTCGTAAATCAACAGGATAGAGGCTGAGAAGAAGTGGAAGGAGGTTTGCTGGGCGAACCTGTGAGGAAGCAATGGTGGGAATGAGTGGAAGGTGTGAGAGTGGGAGGGGGAGCATGGGTGCTGCTGTTGTTATCCTTGCAACTGAGGAGGATAGAAGAGGAGAACCCATAGAAGGAGGCAAAAAAGTTCGTCAAGCGGAGGTTGCTGGACAAAAAGGTTCAGTACAAAAACGCTCACCAGTCCCTCAGTGTCTGCAGCTGCGCCAACAGCCCTCCCTCTCCACTCAAAACGCCTCTCATTCTCTCCTTCGCCTCCGCACTGAGAGAACCAGCAGCAGCAGCAAGAGCAGTAGTAGCATTGCCAGCACCACCAGCAGCAGCGGCAATAGCATCGACGGCAGGGGCGTCAGCGGTGGGAGTCAGGGAGAAGAAGAGGCGGAAGACAGCTGGCATCTGCTGATTGGTCAGGTTCTGGCACCACTTGCGGTCAGCCCTCCACATGGCGCCAGTGCTGCTGTCTTGTACCTGCATGCCCGCCACCCTGTAGCCCAGCGTTCCACTCGTGGTGGTGGCGTCTTTGACCCTGTCAACGCACAGGCAGGGGGAGAGAGGAACTGGATTAAGAATCTGAGACTTTTTTCCAGCCCTAAGCACCCCTCCAGATGGCGCCAGTGCTGCTGTCGTGCACCTGCATGCCCGCTACTCTATAGCCCAGCGTGCCCGAGGTGGTGGTGGTTGCGTCTTTGGCCCTGTACGTGCATGCAGCACACACCGGGAGAAACAAAGGAAGGATAGATCGAAAAGAGCGCAAGATGGAAGAGGGGCAGGAGGACAGCTGGGTCAGATGACACAACCACATGGCGCCAGTGCTGCTGCCATGCCCCTGCATACCCGCTACTCTTGACTGGAACCTGGAGAACCTGAAGTGGCGGTGGCTTCTTTGACCCTGTCAACGCACGAGCCGGGAGGGTTTGAAAGGGCAGTGGGGTTGGTCTTAGACTGACAGCACCCTTCCACATGGCGCAAGTGCAACTGTCGTGCGTGCATCTGCATGACCGCTACTCTTGACTGGAACCTGGAGAACCTGAAGTGGCGGTGGCTTCTTTGACCCTGTCAACGCACGAGCTGGGAGAAGCAAAGGAGGGGGGGACTGTAAAGGCAGGAGGGTTTCGCTTAGACAGAGAGCAGCAGCCCTCCATATGGCGTCAGTGCTGCTATCGTGCACCTGCATGCCCGCTAACCTCTACCCCAGCGTTTCCCCACGCTTCTGTTACCCTGCTGCTATCATACACCTCTTTGTCCACACCCTGCTGCGGTGGTGACGTCTTTGCCTTTGCGCGTGTGTACTTTTGAGTCGACTCAATAGGCGACTTTTGAGTCGACTCAGAAGCGAGGGGGATTTGCCTTTGAGGGAGATTCACCAGCAGCTGCTATCATCCACCTCTTTGCCCACACCCTGCTGCGGTGGTGCCGTCTTTGCCTTTGTGTGTGTGTACATAGCTAGGGAATGGGGCAGGAAAAGGAAGGGAGAAAGCGGCTTTGAATAATGTGCTTGACTGGAATTCGGAAGAGGTTTGAAAGAGGCTCATGAGCATTGTGTGAAAAGAGTACTTTTGAGACGTCTCAAAAGTACTATTTTTACACGTGAATTTGGAAGAGGCTTGAAAGAGGCTCACAAGCATTTGTCGATGTATTTCTGCGGAGCCCCTTCATACCATGTCTTGCGCCCCATCTGCTTCCCAGAGTGTGGAGGGGGGAGTGGGGAGGGGAGGTAGGAGGTAAGAGGAGGGAGGGGGGAATTGGGGAGGGGACACACAGATTAAGACAGGGTAAGCTAGCTGGCACATGCTGTAGGTTAGAAGGCAACTTCTAAGGCGGCTCAAAAGTAAACTGGCTGGCACATGCCGTGCATGTACTTTTCAAGAGCCCATGCACATGCACCCTTAATACCATGTCTCGCACCCTGTCTGCTTGCAGGAAAGGTGGAACGGAACGGAATCACCTTGATAATTTGCACAGTGCCCATGCATGACTCATTATCATGTGTTCTCACATGCCCCTCTCACCTTGATATCCATGATGCATGGCTTGGTGTAATTCCTTGTAAGGTCCTCCATTACAAGAAACTGTGATGTATGAATGAGCAAGTAATACACCATCATACAGCCATCGCATCGCAAATCCAGCACACACTATCATGCATGCACCCAGCCTTGAAAGCATGCACACACATATACCACACAGTTACACATTCACACATGCCCACGCTTACACACATCCACACACGTGGGTGCATGCCAGGTCAACATACTCGGAAGCCCATGGTTGCACAAACAGTTGGTCACAATGTTGGGAGTTTTGAGGCACCACAATGAGATATTGACGTTCAAAATGGATTGCCGTCAACGATGACGTCAATGTTGACGTATTGGAGATCGAGGAATGCAGGGTGAGTAGGGCAAGTGGGAACGTGGAGGAGAGGTGAAGATGAAAGGAGGAGAGGCGAGGAGAGGAGGAGAGGGGGGGAGGGGGAGACGAGGAGAAAGGGAGAGGAGTGGAGGAAAGGAGGAGAGGAAGGGAGGAGGCGAGGAGGATAGAGAAGTGTAGAACGAATTGGGGAGGGAGGGAAGGGTGAGAGGAGTACAGAGGAGTTGAGAGGAGTCAAGGAAGAAACGTATCCAGAAAACGAATCAGGGATTGATGGATTGGAGAAAACTAAGAAATCAGACAACAAAGGTAGAACTTGACATGCTTGGTCCGTTGTGACAGTGTAAAGGTCTAATGGTACTGTTATCTCAAGAGTGTGTGCATGAGGACGGGTCGCTTGAGATATTAACATGGGTGCATGAGGTTATCTCTGACCCTAACATTGGTCCTTGGACCAAGGTCACAGGGAGCGGGTGAATGGGGGGAGGATCGTGGGAGGATATTGACTGGTGTAAGCTGTTGCTCTGTCCCTCCTTCCTCCCCGCTTGAATCCGCAGCACCACCAGCAGCAGCAACAGCAGCGGCAGCCGAAGCAGAGGCAGCGGCAACAGCGCCAGAAGCAAGAGCAGCAGACGGCGTGTGTGACGGCGGCAGCAGCACCTCCTTACTCCCGTGGCACGCGGGAAACATGGCTTTAATCTCCGCAGGTATAGACGTGTCCGCAGCGATCCGCGTGTAGAATTTTAGCTCCTTTTCGCCACGTTCGCCTGCTTGCATGGGTTTATAAAAGCATCCCGA